CAAGGGACTTTGAGTTGCCAAGCTACTCTCTGTGAAAATTTCAGTATTTTGGGCTGAAATATAGTTTTCTATATCTGAAAAAGAAAGAAATGTTGGCAGAGAAAAAACATCTGATCTCTTCTTAGTATGTCCTTCAACAGTCTCTATGTCCTACTTTTTCCATAGGTTAGAGACACAGAACAGAATCATCTTTGGAAAGTGGGGACCAAACTGTCCCTAACGTAGAACACAGATCCTAGCCAAATATTAGAGAACCAAGATTCAAGTTTTACAGCAATTGATGTTTTGTGTAGAATTTGAACCTGATAATAAGCATTAAAAATTACACAGAATCTAAAGAAGTTATGCAATTTAAGCCTCACATGTTCTCAGATTTATAGTTATAACTGTTTTCTATGAGTAACATTGTTTACATGTTGAAAGAAATATTAATCACTTTTTAAACCAGTGCCACTAGTGAGCCTTTGGGTGATTCCCTACTCTGTGTATTTCTTTCATTGAAACTGGCTTATAAAGAAAAGCAAAAATGACAATAAAAGAAATGTACCAATTTATTCCCTACTAATAAAGTATTGAACATTAGGGGAAAGTGTGAAATATTGGAATGCAACATAGAGCAATTCCATTACCCACTGCAGTTTTGGATCATATACTGTATATAAAGAGTAATTACTTCATTGGCTGGAGACCACAGTGAAGGAATATAGAATCTGATGAAAGAGATTTTGCAATAAAGATTTTACCCCAATGTATTTCCTTCTCCAAACTTTTCCAGCCTTAAGACAAGTCCACCTTATTTTCTCTTTGGATGGCAGGGGTATGGGCGTAGCAATGGGCTTAAAGTCTAGCAAAACAAAGAAAGTATACGAGTTTTTTTTTTTTTTTGGTTTCTCTTTTTATGTTTTTCTTATATTTCTTATAAAAATATATTTTCTTATATTTTTAATTCTTTTTATTGTGCTTTACATTTTTCTCCGCTCTCCTCCCTTCCTCCCCTCTCCCCTTCTACCTTCTCCTGCGACTCCCACACGCCCAGTTTACTCATGGGACCTTGAGCTTTTCTCTTCCCTATTTGGATCCATGTATGTCTTTCTTAGGGCCCTTTAGAGTCTCGGTTATCTGGGGTTATGGATTGTAGAGCTGAGCCAATTTTTAAGAATCTTAGCCAAAAATTATATATCAATCTTTAAATTTTTAAAGTAAATATTCACAATTGCCCATTTTAATGGCTTCAATGACACACACTGTTGCTGAAGATCCTATGTTGCAGCATGTCGTTTACATTAAAACCGGTGATTCCTAACACATCTTCACTGCCTACTCTTGAAGGAAGTTTCTGTATTTCATTTCCTTGCTGAAGAACTTAGTTGCATGGTGAGCCTCAAGGCTAGGTTGTGGGTTACACAAGTAAATTTTTCCCCTTTTCTCTCTTTCTTATCCTACTGAAGCTTTGGAGGGAGCTAGAATCTCCCCAGTGGGATAAGGAAGCCATCTATTATGGAGAGAAGAGCCTGAAGTTAACCAGTTCTAGACCAGTTCAAGTCCTGACAATATCTCTGAACCTTAGTTTCTAATGAACAATGGGAAAAATATACTATAGAATGGCTATGAAGATTGAATTTGGTATATGAGAAGCATTTTATAGTACTTAGTGAACATGATTTTTAAATCTTTTTTTCAAAATTACTTAAAGCTTATTAAAGTACAAAATATAAAAAATTCAAAGTAAAATGATGCCATATAATTAGTTTAACTTACTTCTATGTTGGGAAGGTGTGAGTTCTAAGCATAAAATGTTAATTTTATTTAAAAAATAGAATTTATGTATCATTCATTTTTCACTTATTTGAAATAGATCATAAACATTTCATCATTAAAAATTAAATATTTTCTGATATAAATATATAAATATATTTATATGAATAGCTCTAGTCAATGTGCTAATGATTTTTTTATTAAATTTATAAAGAAACCTGCAACAGAAATATTTCTACAGGTGCTTACTGGGTGAGTGCATTGGGAATATAATCCTATCACTTGCAATATCTGTTGCTAGTTTTTTCTCAGCCTAAAAATTCTTTTTGGTAGCACTGTAGCTAAAGGCCTGGGATTCACACTGGCTTAGCACACACTATAGCACTGTCTGTAGCCCAGCCTGAACATTTTCAGTTTATGGTGACTTTTGATGTCATTTTTAACTTTACAAAATCACTGCTACCAAGATTTTTTAATGCTTGTTTTTAGAAAGCTCTTCTTATCAATGTAAGTAAATATCTACATTGTCTTTTAATAATTTATAGTTTTTAGCCTTTAAAAATTACTATGGAATGTATTTAGAGCTATTTGATGCACAGATTAATGTAGACTTGTACTACCTATTAGAGTTGAGAGTTCATTTAAGGTAGGGTTTAGTATAATTTCCCCTAAGTATTATAAGAAACAAAATTGCTCATTTACAATTTCCTTCTATACGATGAAACCCTACCCCACTTTTTTGATACAGGATCTCAGGTAACCCAGGCTGACCTTGGACTTTTGGTTAGCCTGCCTCCAGTTCCTGAGATCAGGGATTGCAGGCAATCACCCAGTAGGATGCCGTATTATACATCATTCTCTCAGTATCTGTCTTCCATTTCAATTATCTGGTCTACAAATGCTTTCTCATTATTGTTCCTTTTATAGAAATGTCTTGATTACAGTTACATATCTATCTTCCAAGAAAATTAGAAATACTTGATCAAATTCTCTCCATTTCTGTCTACTTGAAACATAAGGATTTGGTCGAAATTGCAATAAATCTGTACATTCAATGCCCCTAATATTCTACATAATAATATAGACACATTTCTATGCTTTCATAATTTTTGAGGTTATGCCAAAGTACTTTATTGTTATTGTTAAAGAACATATATCCCTGAGCAGGAACCTTGTTCTCAGTGAATTTTTCACTGCACAAACAGCACGCTTGGACTTGCTTATTTTTCTCTTTGGTGCTAAAGATAGAACCAAGGGATGTGTGTATGGCCAGCATGCAGTCTACCTCTGACACATGCCCTAGTCCTGCCTGCATGGGTTTGTTTTTTATTTTGTTTTGTATTTGTTTTTTTTTTTATATGCAGAATGAACAATTTACAAGTGTACTTTGATTCATAGACATAAAAGAATTTAGCTGCTACTTAGAAGAGAACACTAAGGGTTAGCCCAACTTTGCAGTTATGAAAACAACTGGGAAGAGTCACTTTAGATACTCACTTTATCTAAAATGTACAATTACATAGGACTATAGGTGAAATTAATATTTTATCTGGTAAAAAGAAGAGGGAGAAAACAGAAGAAATTTAATGTGTCTACGTCTGTCATGGCAAGTGAAGGATGACTTGAATACAATGGAGAATGCTGGGTATCTAATTACTTCCCATATTACGAGGTTTAGAGTATCCCTCATTTCCCTCTCTTGACATTCCCTTTTGACATTAGATGACTAATGTAAAACATTTCTCTTATTGAAGTTAAATTTGAAATAAAAACTGATTGGTATCCACAGTTGTGATCCAATTATAAAATTGCCTATATGGCGATGGTCCCAGCACACTGTGCAGTCCTTGGAGGAAGCCTTTGCACCTATGATTCACTTGTCCTTGGTTTCTAGGTGGCAGAGCGGCAGAACGCCAGCCCTGGCCAAGCATTCACAGTGCAGTGTTTGGACTCTTGTAAAATGAAAGTCGTATGTAAATGTGCAACATGACATTATCATCCTAGCTTCCTGGCTGCTTTCAGCAGGCACTAGCTGCCACACAAGGTCTCGAGTGTTCTGGCAAAGTATTCAAGTGTTCAAAAGAAGTTAAAGTAATGAAATTGGATCTATATTTCCATAGACATTCAAATTGGCATGGAGAAATGGAGTCATGGAATCAGGGTTGGATGGTCTCCACCAAACAACCTAGGCAAGTGTCTGTGATGCCAGGCTACTAAGCTGAATTCTATCGTGAAAGGCCACCACTATTTCTTCCTCTGGGTCTAAAATTACAAAATATGCACATTTCCCTAGGTTCACACCATGCACAGGGTGCTTTATACTTAATCTCCTCCCACCCCTTCCCTGGTATACAAGAATTCTTTAAGATTCAAGCTGAAGTATGTACAAAAAAGGAAGTTTTAAAACTGGCTACCAGCATATGAGACAGTAGACTATCTCAGCATCTTTTGGAAGAGTGGCATGTATTTGACCCACGAATGGCTCGTTAATGCATCTCAGCACTAGTCATTTTTGTCATCAGTTGTTACTGCTCCCAGGTCTACTTGTTTGTGCTCAGTATTTCCTGCAACTGAAGTGTTTGTTTGGTCAAGTCTAGGGATACAATTCAGTGGCAGGGTTCTTTACAAAGCCCTGGCAGAAAACAAAAAAGTACAAGAAAATATGCAGAGACCCAATTAAGGTGTACAGGTTGTGGGATCAAGACAGCGGGTTGGAGTCTGGGCTGTAGTTCAATTGCTAGAGTGCTTGCCTAGCATGCACAAGGCCCTAGGTTTGATCTCCAGCACCACATAAGACTGAGTGTGGTGTGATAGAAGAACATGCCCGGAGTCCTAGCACTTAGCAGGGTAGAAGAGGATCAAGGCTTCAAGGTCATGCTCACCCACACAGTAAGTTCCAGGCATCAGGTCTTATCCTGGGAGGAGGTTGGTGAAGAAGAGAGAGACTGGGCTTGCTAAGTGAGTCTTGTGTTAGCTTTGGCAATTATTTCTGTAATATAGCTCTACCTCCTTGTTTCCATTCCTCTGAGCAACAGAATTCAAGGTTCTTGAATTGCATCCATTGGGTACATTTCTCCTGTCATTTTTCCTGAAAATTTCATGAGCTCCAAATATCCATTTGCATAAATATAGAGATGAAGCGCACTTAATGTTAAAAATGCAAGAGAGGGACTGTCCAAAGAATCAAGCAAGAACCAATATATACCTTTTACTCATACAGAATTTCTTTCTTTATTGTATTTTAGGATGGTGAAAAAAAAGGATTTATAAACAAAATCTATGCCATCCAAGAAGTCTGTGTCAGTGTGCAGAATATCCTAGATGACGTGGCCTCCTTTGGTGAAAGGATAAAGAAGTGAGTTGTGCTGGCCTGTTTGCCCTGGCCTTTCATGGGCAGCCTGCCTGACCCAGAGGGAGGGCTGCAGCGCCCTTCTGTCAGACACACGTCACCATTCCATGATCTGTTGTTCAGTTTCCTCTTGTTTTTGTGAATCCTTGGTTTTATGATGGTTCTGTCAATTTCCTGCCTGAAGTTTAGAATATATTGGTGGGAAAGAAGTTATAACTGTAGCTTTAAAGGTACAGCACTGTCCTACACTTCAACATACTTTTTCATAAGGACTTTGTTCTTAAAAAGAATATGAAGTCAAGGAAAGGTAATCTAACCTAATGCATTTCAGGTAACCAGGACATCTGTATTGTATAAGTCTAACTAGACTTTTGCCAAGTTTAATATTGTCAAGAAATAAGCTACATTTCATCATTTAGGAAAAAAATTACAGAATTTTTTCAGTTATAAAAGAATTCTCCATAATTAAAAGTACATTTAAGATTTATTAATTATAAGTAATTTAATTATTACAAGTATTATAAGTATGTGGTATGTATGTGTACCACATGTGTGCCTAGTGCCATGGATGTCCCAGGGGAGAGTTGGAGCCCCTAGGACTGGAGTTGCAGGTGGTGGAGTCATCATGTGGACGCTGAGAATTGAAAGCGGCCCCTGCAATGACAAGTGCTCTTCACCACTGATCATCCTATTTGTGTTTGTTTGGTTGGTTTTATGTGTGTATATATTTTTTGTGTTTATTTTTATTCTTGAAATAGGTTCTCATTGTGTAGCTCTGGATAGCCTGTAACTCAGAGATCTATTTGACTCTGCCTCTTACATGCTGGGATTAAAGGCGTGTGCTACTACACCTCCCTTTGATGAAGGAATGTGATTCATTGAGATATATAAGGAGCACACACACACACACACACAAACATTTTTTTCTGAGACATGGTCTCCCTATATAGTTCTGGCTGTCCTGGAATTCACTATGCAGACCAGGCTAACCTTGAACTGACAGAGACCCACTTGCCTGTTTCTCCAGTGCTGGAATTAAAGGCATGTGCCACTATGCCCAGCTGGAATTTATACTTTTATTCTCACATAGTTTTATTTTAAATAATTTTATTTTTTAATACATTTAGGATGTAGATCTAGAGAGAAAGAGACAGCAAAGAAGTGCTGGGACCAGTCATGTGCCACCATACTGGTTACTAATATACTTTCTGAAATGAATATTTTCTCTAAACAATAAAATAGTGTATTAATAGTAACTATTAATTCAAGATATACTGAGGCCTCACAATAGCCAGCTATTTGATAACTGGCCTGTAACAATTATCAATAACTGTTTAAGAAATGCTGCTCTATAGCAGGAGAAGCCTTTATTATTCATGACCAATAGTATTCTGTAGACTTAGATCCTTGGTCACACACAGAATTTAAAAGGAACAAATTATTTAAGCCAAAAGTATGAGTCACCATATGGTGCTTGCTGTTCATATGGTGCTGTTGCAAAGACAATGCATTTTTTTGTATAGTTTTTAATTTCCTACATTTCCATGTATAAATCAATGCTGAGTTTCAACTTTTCTATGTGCTACATAAAATAATCCCCTTCTTAGACCTCTAAATGTATTTCTATGCAACTGTCTCACAGTTTTAAAGACTAAGTATGTCCGTCTCTCTTTTACATGCATTCTTGTAATAACCATCCCTTGCCCCATTGCCTATCACTAGAGCATGGCATGAAACCCTGAATTTGGGGCCCACCTTTACTGAGCTTTATGTAACACTGTGCTGACACAGGTGAACATCTCATCACCAACAGAACCTGCTAGCTCCCAGCTCTCTCCACTAGCTTGTTAGGCAACCAGTCAGTGTCCACTACTGTCTCATCACCTTCTGTGACCTGGCCTTCCTGTTATCAGTCTCAGCGTGGTAACGCTGGAGACCCACCAGCTCTGTCCGGCTCTCATCTAGTCCCCCCATTTGGATTCCTTTTCCTTGTTGTAAATGGGTGCTAGAGAGACCTTCAAACCAGGGAGGATGACAGTATCATTCAGACAGCTTAAGTGAGGAGTTTTATTTGGGGAAGGGAAGAGAAAATGGGAGAGACAGAGAGACAAAGAGAGGGAATGAGAGAAAAGTGAAGAAGCAGGAAAGTCTTGTCTGTGCCTTCAGAAGTGCACAGGAGGAGAGAAGGGGGGCGCGGGGAGTGGGTGGAGCTTGTCTCTTAAAGGGCAGGCCAGCATAATGCCTGAATCCCAACACCCACTCCCTGATTTCTACAAAGCTGAACAGAAAGCGAGTGTTCCTAAAAGGAATTCTAAAATTTAAGGCTCACACAGTGCTTCAAGAGTTACACGTACTGCAAACATCCATTCCCAGCATGGGCCTATGGTGTTTTTAGGAGGATGAGTGGTAGACCCCTATTGTATAAAATTTAAAAATAAAGAAGGTTGGGTACTAGTTTTAGTAGCAGGAAAAATATTTTTACTATGAATGGAGGTATCCAGTTGTGTAATGATTTTAGAAAATGAAATTCCTGGGACAACCTAGTGGAACTGGTAGCAAGATCCTTTACCTGGGTCTGAGTTCATGAATGAAACTGATTATGACTAAACTTTGTTCTCTGATAGTCAACTGTTACTCCAAACCATGTTTATCTTAAGTCTCCTTTAGAAAAGTGTGAAGTGCTCACATTATCGATTTGTTACTTTTCCATTCAGTACTTTCAACTGGACTGTCCCATTCTTAAGCTGGCTGGCCATTGTAGCCCTCTGTGTGTTCACAGTCATTCTGTACTTCATCCCCCTACGGTACATTGTGCTTGTCTGGGGTAAGTAAAGCTTTTGAAATAACAACAAACACTCCAGCTGTTTTAGCAGCTAAGAACAAACTATTTTTAAGAGAAGAGTTATAGCATCAGCAGTGCTCTGTATTTATGGTCATGTAGGTACTCCATGACGAAAGAGGACAGGTCAGTTAAAAATCACAATAGCATAGAGATTTAGGTCCCAGTATAAATGCATTTTTCTTATCTGGCACCACAGCTCCCATCATACTATAAACATGTATTGGTACAGATTCTTCATATATCAAAGTATAACTTTGTCTAGATATCAATGATTTATTTTTACCACTTAAATGCCAATGGAGGCACTTTAAGCCATGTGGTACGTTTAGGACAATATACCTTTTGCTATGGTATTTTATCTTGTGGATGTCTGTAAACACAGTACCAGCTGCCCATTTAAAAGGTCACTTTTAGGATTCAGAAAAAGCCTTACCATCATTTACAGGCTCCTTAGGAACAACCACAAAGCCTGCTAAGTAAGAATGCTTTTAGAAAAGTTTACCTTAAAGGTGATTTCCCCTCTAATATTTATGCGATTTTGCCACATGCTTCCAGCAGTCCGTCCCGTCCCTCTGACCGAGAGCCCATTCAGCAGGTGGTCACTTTCCGCCTTATGAAGAACTGGAACTGAAGTTTTCTTCTTTCTTGGTGAATTTTTTTGGTTTAGAAAACCCAATCTTCGTTCCTTATAATCCACCACCATATAGAAACACTTTCTATTTGTCCCTCATCACTGAACACATACATCAAAGATTCCTAAACTTAAAAAAAATATACAAGGATGGAAAATAGGCCTTGACCCAAGAAAACCTGCTTATATTGTAAATAATGGAATTTTTTTACAGAGTTTTTTTTTTTTTTGCCTCCCAAATCATTAAAAGAAATATACCAGAAGAAAGTGAATTAAGAACAACAGTCTCCATCCAATTTAGTTTTAAGATTCCCATTTTGGGGGCTGGAGAGTTAGCCTGGCAGTTAAGAATACTTACCAGTTTTGCAGAAGACCCAGTTTTGGTTCTCAATACCCACACAACCACCTATGCCAATGTTCTTTTCTATCCTCCTGAGGTACGTGTACACACACACACACACACACACAATTTTTAAATAATAAAAATATTCTTGTTTTCTTTCTCCTTTGGCCCATGTTTCCACTTTCCCTTCCAGTATTGCCTCTAGCCCCTGGATGGAGGGCAGAGGAAGTAGTGATTGTATTTTTCTTTTCCAATTTCTACCATTCAATTAAGTCACCAGTTTTCCTATTCAAAAGATGGGGCTTTTTAATTTTGATTTTAATTTTACCCTATTCTAGTCTATTAAGCCCTAATGTTTCATTCATTTCTCTGGTCAGAGCAGATACTATTTCACTGAAGCGCTTAGGGTAAAGAATAACCATATCTTCCTAGGATATGGGTTCAGACTTGCAGAACCATTTCTACTGCCATGTGGCGAAAAACCCTTCCCACTGACCTTCCTCACTCAGCTTCTCTGAAACTGGAGCCGAAGGCTCCATCTGGCTATGGAGTGTTTTGGGCCATCCGTATGGCCCCAGTGGCTAGCTGTCTTAAAAATAATTTCACAGGATGTTTTTGAGCCTTGTTTCATCAAATGAAAAAATTCAAAAAATATTATTTATTTTAGTGATAGGTGACAGCTAAAATGTTAAGAAATCCAAAACATAGGTCTCACATGGCTGGAAAGAGCCCAAGACCAATGTGACAGAAGTTCATTGTGTAGGAATGCCATTAAGAGCTGAGATCCCAAGTCTATCCCTCAGTTTATATCTGTGTGTTGATTTAATGCAAAGCTGAATACTTTCCCCCAAAATTTATGGCAATATTTTTCATTTCAATTTAAACAATAACCAACCATCAAATCACATGACTTCTAAACATTTAGTTTGCTTTATAACAGTAGCACCTAAAATAAATATCCTTGGAAAAGAGAAAAATAATAAATTACCTAACAATCACAACCTAGAAATGTAGACAGGTAAGTCTCATCATGCCTAAAGAGGAAGCAAATCGTCTTGGGACTGCAACCCTGAGAACCTGGTCAGACAAGACACTGTATATCCCTTCTAGGATCGCTTTTGTTTCCCCCAAACCTCACCTACTGGGAAGAAGCTATTCAGTTGTACACAGGAAAAGCAAGCAGCAGTTCAGCTGGGCAAGTTGAAGGAGGTGCTATACTAACTAGGCCACCCTGTCAAGGCTAAGGGGTAGCACAAAGTTGATGTTCAAATCGCCATAATGCCTTCTCCAGAAATGTGCTTTGCCTAACTCCACACTCAATAATGAACTCAATAATGTTTGAAATGTCACTTTTTTAGGTATTAATAAATTTACAAAAAAGCTTCGGAGTCCATATGCAATTGATAACAATGAACTACTTGACTTCCTTTCCAGAGTCCCTTCAGATGTACAAGTGGTATGTAGATTTCATTATTATGTGCCTGCTTTGATGTAGGATGACACTTCATTGTCAAAGGCCATAGAAGTGTCTGTTAAAAGTCAATGAAGCCATGTTCAGAGAGTCCAGTTTGATCACATGCTCCATCAGTCTTTGGACTGGAGAGGGAGAGGGGAAAGGGGGAGGGGGAGGGAAATGGGAGGAGGTGAAAATTTGTAATAATAATAATAAAAAAAGAGAGGAAAAAATGTCAATGAAGCCCATTACAGTTTTTTGGTAGGACTTTAGCAAACTAGACATTAATCTAGAAAAACCTATAAAGAACAGAGAGCACAAGATTGAAAGTCAGTCATCACATGGCTTCTGGGGAGAATGTACCCCAAGCCCAGCTAAGTTTGTGAAGAGACAGAGAAAACAGAGTTATTTTAGATATAGATGATGGAAGCGAAATGATGATTACAAACTATTTGTGCATATTGTACAAATTCAATACATTTTAAAGACTCATGTTAATGTATATTTTAGATTAGGGAGAAAATGTTTACATTTGAAATACTATAGCATATCTCACAAATCCTTTGGACTTAACATGTACTAACAGACTGATTTCAAAGTGGAATAAAGGTTTTTAATCACAGCCTTGAAGTAGGTTTAGTGATCTCAATTTGCATTAGTTTCAGTTGAGTTTTTTCATTCCATATATACAACCACGGGCTAGGTGAATATTAAGGCTGTATTTAATAAACAAACTGCAAAGAATCATTATCCAGCTCTTCAAAAATAGAGAGATTTTCTTTCCTTGTATCGTGTTCCGGTCAGTAACAGTCACAGTCCGTTAGCAAAGCTCACATGAGCTTCAGGTATTCTCTGGCAGATTTCCCTCCTGACTCTGCCTCCAGCCCCTGCTGCTTTTTGCACCAGCTGGAGTTCCCACTTGGCTTCTAGAACAGCATACCTCCTCCCCTTCACCTCCCTCCCCAAGCAGTCTCTCATTCCTTAGCTTTTCCTTCTTTGCCAGGAAGTGGCCACCTGACCAGTCTTTTTCTGAACTGTTTAAACAGGTGCAGTACCAAGAACTGAAACCAGACCATTCTCATAGCCCATATAAAAGGAAGAAAACCCCCCTTGGCTAGCCAGCTCCCAGCACTGAGGGACCAGCACGCCTGGAAAGATAAAAGAAAACCCTGCAGCCTCGGCAGCATTTCTTTTCTTTCTCCTTTTTTTATTTATTTTCTCTTTTTATCATGATCGAGAAATTTGTAAATAGTGTACAAAGGCATATGTCTTTGAAAATATACTTCCATTGTACAGACGCAACTTGATAAAGGATTTTAACTAGTGGAGTGTGGAAGCCTTGTTAGCTATAGATAATACAACCAACTGCAAGAATAAAAATAATGGTTATAAAACTGGAATTTCCTCGAATTACAAGTGAAAAGAACTAGAATATCAGATTAAATGCTCAATTGTACTCTGATTAACCCTACATAAAATATATGTGCTGATTTGATTTTAGGGTTTTTTTTTGTTATGTGACGACTTCTTATCTGAAATGCAATTCATTAGGGTTTTTTTAATGTTTATGTACAAAATGTACAAAAGAGGGGAAACCCCAAACATTGAATAATGGAAATGTTGCATTTCAATATAACATACATCCCGACTTTCACTCCTGTGTAAATACGTTACTTATGTATAGCTAAGGCTGATTTTAAGTTCATGAGGACAGGCACATTCATATATTCTGCTGTGTCCTCATACACAATCCCTTAAGAGAATCTGAGATTCTATTAATAAAACTCTTAAGTCTTCTATCATTCCATCCAAAACCTTAAAATCTCTCCAGAAATATATTAAATTAATACTGCCAGGTTTATAAGTGATTATCAGGGGTTTTATATATACCACTATTTAATTTATACTGAGTTAGCAAATTAGCAAGCCGATTTAGCTGTCAAATATACTAGCAAAGTAAATCCATACTGCATTTGGTATCAAATTATGCCCTTATATATCTGAAAAAGTAAATTTAAGTGTCCTCACAGGGGAAAAAAACAGTTTGAAAGAATAATGCTTCTTCATTAGACTACTAACATGCTTTTTATTAGTGAGCTTTAATGTGAAGAACGCAGTGGACTAGAGAAAGGCCAGTGCTTCATCACATCATTTATGAAGAACGTTGATAATGCATGAAAGCCTGTTTTGTAAAATAAATGTTTAAAGTGGTTACCATTAAAAATGTTTCGCTAACCACATTGTATACTTTAACAGTGCATTCCGAAGACCAAGTCCAGGGTCTATCAAGGGAATTTACCTCTGCAGAGATACTTGGTCAGTCAGTGAGAGTGTCTTCACTGACTTTTAAAGGAATAAACTCAATAGAAATTGCTGCAATATTTTGCACTATTTTATTAATTGCTATTAATAAATAACTGGGGTGAGATGAAGGTGGGGGTTGTGCTGGACAATGTAGAAAAGCAGAAATATATATTTCACTCTAAAGAAATTCTTTAAATCTCATCAAAGCTGATTTTTAAAGTATTTTTATTTTAGAAATATGTTGTTAAATACTATTTCTTACAATAGAACTATTTTGATGTTTATACACTAAGCTTGGAAGAATGTTGACTAAATTCCCTTTCTATAGAAAGGCTTTGACCTCACCTCAACATGCTCTATCTAGGGTATCATGTTTAAAACGACATGCTTATATCTGCATCCCATCACTGTTTGTTGCAAAAACATACTACTTTATGAAGCTGGCCTATTACGAGTTTATTGATGAAATCCTTTGGTCTAAGTTCTGATTACACCTGCGCGAGACTGATGTTCTGTGCTGTAAGTGTCTACTCAAATGTCTAAGTCTGACATCCATTCTCTAACCTTGGATGGACCTAGTGGATGGAACCATTAACAGATGACTAAGTTTCATTTGTTTCCTGGTGTAAGATTTCAGATGCTTAGTTCGATAGTAATGTTGACTACATATTCACTTCATTAAATACAAAAGAAAACAATTTTTTTCTATGTAAAATCACTATTTTTTCTGAGTTAAGAAATGCACAGTGGGGTACTGGGTGCATGTTTGTTCATTAGTGATACTTCACTTGGGGAAACATTTGAGCAGGGCTATTGAAACATACTGAAACCCTGGCTACAGTGAAAACTCAGTACCTTTGGCACAGTAAGCATCCAGTGAAGCAGAGAAAACTATCTGGAGTCAGAAAGTCACCTTCAAGCTAGCCCTCAATGCTTTCAGAAAACAATATATTTATAGGGCCAAATGAATAATGGATTCATTTGATCCATTCGTAGGATTTTTAATTTTCATGTATAGGTGCTTTTTATATTTAAGAAGGATGCCTTGGTTTTCAGTTGCTTACCCCTCTCCCCCCCAGAACTGAGAACTGAACTCAGGACTTAGCCCCTGCTAGGCAAGTGCTCTACCACTGAGCTAAATTCTCAGCCACAAATTAGATTTTTTTCTTTTTCTTTTTTCAAGTCAAGGTTTCTCTGTGCAGCTTGGTTTTCATAGAAGTCTGAAACAACTATTCTAAGTTGTATGAGCCCAACATCTATTTGCATTGTTAAATGTCAGACATTGTGAACTGCTCAACAGTCTATATTTACATTCCACACTACAGTTATTGTTGTATAATGCTGTTCTCTGGGAAGACAACTGCCATCTTCCTTAGATCAACTGTGCCGGCTTGTTAAAAGACCATCATAATCACGCTTACAGTTGATCCCTCAAAAGAGGAGTGGGCATAGAGGAACAGTGAGCGCAAGATTCTAGCAATCTGGATGCAATTCTGCCTTAAGTACCTGTGACCTTAAAGAGGTGTAGAGTATATAGGCGGGTCACTTGAAAAGGAACCACATCTATGCAGAAATGGTGGGGCATAATTCATACTGGTCAAGACTTCTCAGTGCAGTTGCTTTGGGGTCATCCATGCTTCTGTAGGTGACCCCCCATTCATCTTCTCAAAGTTAGTCTGATAAACTTATTGGTTCACCAAGCTGAACTTTGGTAAGATGCTTTGGTTTGTCACTGAGATCACATAACGAGGGGTAGATGATGTTTAAGTCTCTACAGAGAAGGGATTGTGCCACCATATAATGGGATAATTCAGATTATCTTGCCCTTTTGTAACTTTCAACACATTGTTACCTAATAGTTCATTTTGTTAGTTTCAGACTCAAACTTAGGGGTTCATGAGAGGGAGGGGTATTCTAAATTAATTTTGAACCATTCTATGCACTAGGATAATGTAAGTTAAAATATTTTTTACATGACCTGTGATGCATTTATTGTGTATCTACTGTATAACCCTGAGAAGGGCAATTATAGTGTATGTGTGTATCAATAGTATAATTAAACCAAATTTGTAAACAGACAAATTTAAATGGTATGCTTATGAAAGTTAACTTTTTAGAAGTTTCCTTAAATTTCAACAAGACTCTGGCCTCTAACTTACAATCAGCCTCCCAAGTGCTGGGATGAACAGGCGAATGCTGAAATTGAGCAGTTAAATCCTATCCAGTAGACACGGGGTGGGGTGGGGTGGGGGGGGGGGGGACTTTCTACTTTGATGCCAAAATCCAAAGATGTCTAATATTGACGCCGAAATATAGCAAGCATTATTCAACTTATAAGCTTAAATACGCCTGGCTGCTTACAATACTGTTCAGTAATAGTGCTTTGGTGCTCAGCTTCAGAAGAAAAGTAGAAGGCACTTGGTGGCTTCAAATACAAAATATCCAGACACCCCCCCAACAAAATAAACAAACCAAAACAACAACAAAAACCTCTGCTCTTATTAAAGCATATTCAAGTTTTGGAGTTTGCAGTGTTATGTGTCCAGATGGCTAGTCACTGATCTGATTAGAGTATGTGGAGTCAGCCTTTCATAACTGCTCGGTTCAATTAAAGCCACCTAAATATAACAAAAATGTCTCTAACTCTCTTTCCAAGGCTGATTGCTGTAACTCACTGGAACAATGACAACGGCAGCAGAAAGCATCCCTCTTTTGTTGTCAGAGTTCTTTTATACTCCTTTTCCACATTCATCAATGGTACCTTGTCAATGGCAGGCACATGAGAAGTTATTTTAGCTGAAACACACCAAGAAAATCTCTACATTGGAACACTATAAAAGCATGCAAGCATGCACCCCCCCCCCACTCCACTAGAGTTTTTGGTTTAAAAGTAAAAAAAAAAAAAAAAAAGAAAAACAAAACATCCATAAAACAAAAACACAAAATGAGACAACTAAATATATAATTGTTCTCTAATTTCAAGTTGTTCAATCTTTCATTCTAAGCTGAAAACAATAAAAAACAAAATCTACAAAATATCCTGTGTGTAGTACTACACCAATATTTTTGTAAAAGCAATTTTTAATAAAATCTGTGTATCTCTGAATGCAGTGAAAAAAAAAGGGTATTTATGTGTACAAGTGTTTGTCTGCATGTTTTTAAAGTGCACGATACATACAATGCCCAGAGGCCAAAAATGGGTATTGGATCCCCTGGAAATGGATTCTCAGATTATGAACTGCTGAGAAAAACTTCGGTGCTCTCCAAGAAAAGTTAAGTATCATTAACTGCTGAGTCTCCAGTCCCAGGACTACTGTTGAAAGGAACAATGGGGCTGCATGTTCTGCTCTCAACTAACAGGGTAGAGAGCTTTAGTTGAGTATCTGTGTCAATGTGCTTGCTGTATGTATCAAAATAACTGCAATGCAGGTGTTCCCTGCTCTATATTTTTTAATGTTCCCTCAAAGAGAAAAGGAACAGCCCCAATGAGCCAGTGAGACACCACCTGACTTCTCAGGAAGACTGATCTGAGGAAATCCCGAGCTCTAGCTGAAGGAGATAGCTGTTAGTCCTACTAGTGAGGAAAGTTCACATGGCTCAGTCTGGGGTCAGTGGCTAGCTTTAAACTGGCTTCTGTCAAGTTAAACGATTTTACTTTGCCTGGGTTCAAGTGGTGACAGATTTGGAAGAAATGCTAAATTTGTACAGAAAAGAGCCCACATGATTCCAACAATTTTTAATTGTTGTTGTTCTGCATTATAGGAAGCGCCCAAGACAACAGCCAAGCACCAGTTTTCACAAAGACAGCTGGATCACAGAACGGAGCAAAGGAGAAGAAAATACCAATTATTTTTCCTCAAGATTCTTTTTTATAGTTACCAGAGAAACAGAATCCATACAACTAAATCCCCCATAAAATATTCTTACACAGTAGTGATTCCAACAACTCTAAACCAAAACTGTATGTGTGGTCCGTTGAAGATCAATTCTGCAAAATACATCGTTCTACTTCCTGTTACACAAAGGGGCTTGCTTGTGACAGGAGGAGGTTACTTCCAATTTCTAACCAAATTTACAGAATCATATGCTTCTTGCATTTGTCCTAGACTTGTGAAACACACAGAACATACCCAGAAAGGTCAAATGCCCAAAACCATTTGAAGAAGCCCTCCTTCCCCAATTTCATTTCCATTTCATTTGTTTGCTATTTAAAATTTCCCTATTGGATGTTCAGAAGTGGGGGAGGCTATTTAGAGGTTGAGACTATGGTTCTATACTAGACTACTTGCCTAATAAATATCAGGCCTGAGGTTCAATCCTTGTATGGAAAACAAAAGTATCTAACAGGAAAAACAATCACCAGTACTTTTTTTGGGGGGTGGGGATGGGAATAAGCACAAACCATTTTTGCATTTTTTTACATAACCAAATCCAGACACACCAATTAGTAAACAGGTATGTATCATTCATTCTTGTGCACTATAATGCTAATTCAAAATACTTTTATTTGGCAGTCAAGAAATCCTCCCACCAAAAGAGTTACCAATACTTCCTGGCTGTTACAGTTACCTTTTGTTACTTTTCAAATAAAAGCTGTGATGTTTCTATGCATTTGGAGATTAATTAATGCATTACACTATACTCTTGGCCTTCATCCTGTAGGTGCATGCAACAGTGTGCCTAGAGAACAATGGCATGGTAATGTTAGAACCCTCTTGGTAGACAGCTACGTCTAACTCTGTCATTCTGCTGTAAGTAAGTTTACACGGTTCCATTTCCATTTTATAGAGCAATTATAAACAATTACCAGTCTCATAACTTCCTGTTTTCTGAGTTAAATAAGTAAAAATTCTTCAGAAAGCACATAACTGTTTCCATTAACACTTATAAAACTGTAAAAATAAAAAAATGGGTTATATGTTATGACTAGCTCCTCCAAAAGTTGTAAATCTAGCAAGCAAGGGCTACCACTGAAGAGCAAGGAGCAATCTTCCACTTGAACACTGGAGAGGCTCTTGTCTAAGGTACCATGAAGTGAGTTTTCAGATTCACTCTCAAAGAAATACACAGGACAACTGAGCAACTTAAGATCTTTAGTAGATGATAGCAATTATAGCCTGCTTTGAAGAAAAATGGCAAATTTTAAAGCTCTAGCTATTTTTTTAAAAATGGAGGACATGCAAGTTTAAAATTAGCCTATTTTAAAAGCATTTCAAGATCAATTCTTGGGCAAGTAAGATTGGTCAGTGGGTAGAGACATCACTACCAAACCTGATGACCTGAGTTCAGTCCCCAGGACCTATGTACAACTGATTCTGAAGGGTTGTGCCCTAACAACCATGTGCCTGCCATGGCATGCATGCCCCCTCACAATACACTCAAATACGTAAAAAGTAAATAAATGTAAAATAAGAGACTCAAATAGGAGTATCACTTTCAAATAAGTAGGCTTCTGGTACTGTGAACAAATATAAACTATTTTACAAAAATTAGATGAATAAAAAAATATTTAATTATATGTATATTTCTGCCCTTAAGGTATTGTGTGCAGCTCATTTAAAATGTAATTTATGCCAGGCGATGGTAGCGCACGCCTTTAATCCCAGCACTCGGGAGGCAGAGGCAGGCGGATCTCTGTGAGTTTGAGACCAGCCTGGTCTACAGAGCTAGTTCTAGGACAGGCTCCAAAGCCACAGAGAAACCCTGTCTAAAAAAAAAAAAAAAAAAAAAAAAAAAAAAAAAAAAAAAAAAAAAAACATAAAATGTAATTTACAATTAAGAAATGTTAGTAGTCATCTATAATAATCAAGCTTGTAGTCATGTTAGATTTTCTAGATGCACAGAGATGTATTTCAGGTGGATATGCATTCTTCAAACCTTTCAAAGACTACAGAATACTGTATTTAAAATGCTTTAAGAATGTAGGATTTTTCATGACAATGAGACACATCTGCTCCTGGCAGCACCTGCTACTTCAATAGGAAGATGGGCATCGAAGAGGCTCCTTATGGAGTTGGTTAGCCACTTGGGCAAGAAACTGTTCTTGCCTGGACTGCTTAACTGGACATGCAGGACCCACAGAGAAATAACTGCTGAACTTACCTACAGAAGGTGAGACAGTCCTTCAGGGTTCCTGCTTCATGAAAGAGTCTGCAAGACATTCTGCAGGACACAGAAGAAAGTGACTGATAAACTGCCAATACAAGCGGAACTGTCTTTCAAATTTCCTGCTTTGTGGAAAAGACTGCTAGATACTATAGGCCTGTAGTCTGAAGAATGATGCCCCAACAGTACAGAAGAACTTAGGGTGACTGTCCAGGCAGCGAGATGTCTCTAACATTTCTAGAGTTTTAGAAGTTGCTTACAATGCACTTCCTGTTAACTTAGGTAATATTATATCCTTCTGGAGTCTTTGATGGAGTTGAAGAATTTATATAGATTTTCTTAGTTATGATAATATGTACTTTTACTATGTTAAAGCTCAAACCTTTTATATTTAAACAGAAAAAAGGAAGTGATGTGAGATCCCCCTCTGTATGATAGGAATATCATTGGTTAACAAAAGAACCGCTTTGGGACTATAGCAGAGCTATAGGGGAACTGATCTATGAGGGGAAAACCATAATGAATGCTGGGAGAAAGGAAGCAGAGTCAGAGAGAAGCCATGTAGCCCCGCCAGAGATGTATGCCAGAACTTTAGCCAGCCAGATGGTGATACACAGATTACTAGAAATGGGTTAAATTAATATGTAAGAGTTAGTCAATAAGAAGCTAGAGTTAATGGGCCAAGCAGTGATTTAATTAAAAAAAGAAAAATATTTAAAATGTTTGACACATAAATATAACTACCAATAACAATGTATTTACTTGTATTTTCCCCATGAAATTTAGAGAAAAGTATCTAACACATCTAAATGCCTGCTATTTTTCATTACAAAATTAAAATTAGTCAGGAAAGAAAAAGGTATTTAGAGAACTTTTAGTAAATGGCTTTTGACCTCCCTGTAAGTTATTTTCTTCCATTGACATGTCTCAGTATGAATTATGGTATTTTGGAAGGGAATTTGTAAGAACTGTAGTGATGAGAAAAATGTGACAATTACTTCTAAATTTCACTGCTTCCTTGTCGTTCCTTAGTGTCTTTGTAGTGAAGACAATTAGATTTACTAATCCCATGGAGAAGAGTGAACACCACTTGTCACAACAGACTAGTCTGAATGTTCCTGTTAATCTGGTGTTTTAATAAAAACTACTTCTTACTGAATTTCAAGCATAAGAGCACTCTACAAAACTATCACCTAGACCCTTGGTTCAGCCTATTAAAATTTCTCAAAAATGCCAAGGACATAGCTTATCCATGATTCATATCTGTTTATATGCCTTCTGTAGGAGGAGAAGCTTGTTTGTCCTGGCTACTAAGAACCAAAATAATCACACAGAAACTGTATGAATTAAATCACTGCTTGGTTATCTTTGGCATCAGCTCCATAGCGTCCCCTGATTTTGCTCTTCTTTCTCCCAGCATTCAGTCCAATCCTCTCCGCCTACCTAAGTTCTGCCCTATTAACAGGCTAAGGCAGGTTTTTTATTTATTAATGGTAATCACAACACACTGAGGGGACTCCCACATCAGTTTTTTGTATAATTTCATATGTAGTCAGTAACTTTAATCATTGTTTTCAACAACATTTAGAAATATTTCCTTTCTTGTTTCCTTTAAATCAGACATTTTCTAACCATTTTCCCTCATTCCCCTGTTCAGGTTTCATTTTTGCAACTTGTTTTTGTTTTTAAAATGCACATCTTAATCTATTCAAATTCTACATAATGCTCAGTCACTTCATGGCTGCTGTAAAACAGGAAGAATGCGATGCAAACTGGAAAAAAAAAATCGTGTTTCAGGGAAAGCCACACACCCAACACCTACCCCCACCCCCCCGAACTACAGACACATTATACATCCACCATTCATGCAGACACAAACCACTGCTGATCTGACACGGAGGCTGTGAGTCACTGAGAGCAAACTAACTTTGGTCACCACTTTAAGACTAATGATCCCTGCCCACCACCCCATATGACTTTTCACTTGGGAACAAAAGAACAGAGAAACGTTAGTAATCTCAGTTCATCTACCATCAGAAGAAATGATAGCTGGAAACTCAAAAGTTGGAGTTCAGTACAAATGATGTCCTCTGGAAGTATTAAATGTACTTTAAACTTTTATTTTTGATAGTATTAAATCTTTTATAGCCTAAAAATTATATAGTACTAATCCTAAAAATTATATAGTACTAATCCATTTTCCATCAATAATTACTATTTATGGGCCATCAATGTTTATTTCATACAATCTGATAATATGAGAAGAAAGGTAATCACATTTATCAATTTTAACTGGACAGAAGAATGCATGGATGCTCAAATAATGGAACTTTCTTGGGTCTACACCTGTTAAAGGCAATGGATTTCAATATCTCCATGCTATGTATGAATATCCACCTTTCATTATAATTACTGAATAATTGATCAATAGTCCCTCTGACAACAGTTGGCTTTTATTCATAAGTCAGCAGTTTTAAACACAAAAAGAGTTCACTGTATTTAAAGAGATGCAAATATAGTTATATCTTTAACAGCAAAGCATTATATTTTTAAGAAAAATCATTCCTATCTAGGATTAAGAGCTGCATTTCAAACTTTTAAAAACAGGCTGATAAAAGTTCAATTGCATTATATCTACACTAGAAAAAGCAACAATGTATTTAAATATATCACACCATAAACAGTTTATAAGAGAAAAAAAACTTCCAAAGAGACCATAATCTACAAAAAATAATCACTTATATTTGTAAATCTCTAAGATTTCATTCAAATAATTTCAAAGAATTTTCTAACAATTCATACAACTTCATATCTTAATAAACAAAAAGGATACAGCTTATGTTGCTCATGTTCTCATAAACTAGGGTTAGGAGTTAACATACAGCTCTATATGTTCTGCAAGATCATGACCAGAATTTACTATAAGAGTAATAATCTAATGATTATCAATATTAAAAAAGTCTTATAAAACACTTCTCTGAAAGTCTTCCTTCATCAGGGTGCTGAAGAAAGTATGCTCAGAATCACTGAACTTTTTCTGATCAATTTAGTGCCTGATATTTTCTCTCACACAGGCTGAGAAATTAACAAAATATATTTTCTTACTGTAATTCATTTTAAAATACAAGCTGAATTTTCTGATAACATAATCTAATTTACATGCATTAACTACTCCATGTTCAGTTTAACATAACCAGGTACTTGTCAGTAAGTCTGTAACTGAGCTTTCTAACTCAATCCACATTTGATATAAAAAGAGTAATCATTCTGAGTTTTGCGAGGTCTACCTCAGCAGGAGATGCAATTGGCATGGAAGCTACCAAATAAAGGTTGGAGGCAGTAAGTAGCTCATGCCAGTCAGAGAAGACACCATTCTGCTGGTTTAGGAGCGACAGTGACAGCTCTTCCCAAGTTCATCAGAGGCAGAAGGGCTGCAAAACCCATCAGTAAGTTTTTCTTTTCATGTAAATCTATTCATTTTCCTATAACAGCATCAAGAAAGAGCAAGCACATTCTTATAGTATTTATGTATATGTCCTAGCATTAACACATTCACATTTGCCTCAGAATGATCACTACGAATTCAAAAGCCCACCCACTGCCTATGAATTCTAAAAATAGAATTGCCAAAGTAATACTCATCAAATGTACTATCAGAAATTAAAGTGCGATCAGGCTCAGTATTTCAATTTAAAAAGTAGGGTACACTTACTAAAGCTTCCAGGAACACACAGAACTAATTTTTATTCTATAGAACTTCAAATAAACACATGAAAACACACATATTTAATTCTAGCTTACCTTCCCAGTTGTCACAGCTCCTCCTAAGAAGTATACCACTTTGGGCTCTGTTAGCCTTTTGTTAAACTGAAAACAATAATTCATTTTCCATTGTTATATACTAGAAGAAGTGATTTTTTTTCCTGGCCATTTTTGTAGGAAACTGTGTCTACAGAACTCCTACTTCATTCTCTACAGTGGAACTAACATTAAGAACACAGGAAAATTCCCAAAGTCTGTCTAAGAACCGCAATAAACTGCACCAAGGAGGAAAGCTGACTGACTTTTATTCACGTTGTGGAAGGGGCTATGGTTTGATTTATTTCCCATAGGACTGTCAGTCTGCTCTGGGAGGATGCAGGACAGAGTGACATCACTCAGCTTTGTCTTCACCAGCAACTTTGGAAAGTCTCCAATGAAAAGTTAACTCAGGACTTTTAAGTGTTTAGAATTTTTTCCTCTTTGACCTCTAAGATAGATTGAAGACAACAATTATGTTTTCTAAACTACAAAACAAGAAATAATACAAATAATGCTGGAATCTTGAAGTGTAGTAACTCGGCACAGAACACAGTACCCTATACTGTGTAACAATGCCTTTTTAAAGGAAGACATCTTGGAGGAACATGGCATTATGACTTGTGGGACACAAAACAGCTTGCTGTGCAATAGCAATAGTTCAATCAAATAAATATTCTTCAGTGAATATCTAACTTATGGAACTCCCTAATAGTACAAATCCTAACTCATGATATTATTCATATCTTTTAGTCGTGAAATTACTGTCCATTTTAGCATCTTCCTCTTTGCTCCAGCAGCAGCTCATTATCAGCAAATCTGAAGCATCAGAGAAAGTGAGAGTTTAGCTGAATTCTTTCAGGACAAGGGCACCTGACATGACATTACTTCCATTTGACATATAAGAAAACCAAAACAGAGAAAAAAGTCCTTTGCAACCTCAAATTAGCCAGATTTACCCCGTGCCTGAGTCAAAGTCTATGCTCAAGTGTGTGTTAGTTTATGGAGCAGCATTCTCCCAAGGTGCCTTCATAGTGAGATTCAGTGACTATTTCTGGTTCCTTTCTCTTTTCCATCTTTGCTTCTTTTTTGTCTTCCTCTCTGACAGGGTCACACTGTAACTTAGTCTGGATACAAACTCTCTGTCATTCCCCTAACTCAGCCTCTCCAGTGACTATTCGTATTTGCTGATACTTTGGAGGATTAATAACAAAAACAATTTTTTATGTTATTTTTTACAGTACATATAAAATTATTTTGAAATCTCACATAAGTTTGATTTTTATTAGTGTGCAAAGACTACGACATTGAGCGCCTGTCTCTTGCTGAAAGAGCTGTTTGAGAAATGAAGCATAATGCTTCTTTAACACATTAGTTGCTGCTGGGGCCGCAATTACATTACATAACATCAAGATTCTTTTCCCCATCTATAACACAGTGTAACTTACTTTCACCAGTGAAGGAATTACAATCTCTTAAGTGGTTAATAGTCACACTCTGTCTTTTAAGTTATAAACTATTAGGAAAAAAACTGAAACACTAATCTGCAAATTCATACTGCATACTAAAATTTCAGATAACCACAGCAATTTCATTGTAAATTTTAATTATATTATTTAATAAAACTTTATATGTGGGAAAACGTTTTCACTGACAGAAGATTGGTTAAGCGAACAGAAGCATACTTCATATATGCGCTGCTAAACTACAATAGATCAAAGAACTCAATTGTTAAACTGCAAATAATGTAGCATTTAAAAAGATTATTAAATATAATTTAAAATTATAGAAAGGTTTATTTTAGAAACAAGGAAAAACAAATGTATCTTAGACATTAGCATATAAAGGAGAAACAAGTTTTTCAAGTATATAGATACACATTTTAATGAATATCCTTCTCATGATTTAAAAACCTATAGCACTTAGAGGAAGGGACATTTTGATATGAAAAAATATTTTATTTTCTACAAAACAATATAAATAAATATTTCAAAACAAAGAATTTTAACGATTAATAAAAGCATTTTATACCCAACAACACTACTTCCTTTTATTGTTGTATCTTTTCTGAGTTAAATTCCAAACCTGGACAGGGAGCCTGTATTCTAGTTCTGCAGATGTTTTTAAGTGCTATGAAAATCTGCTGTAAGTCTGTCAGTGACTAAATCAAATTTGTCCATAAGCAAAGCTATGACTATTATACTAAGTGACAGAGCAAGTTGTACGTTTAGGTCTGACTCACACTTTCCGGCATCATGACACCTCTGTGACTGACCGACACATCATTTCCAGGGTCACCAATAAGGCCTCAGTATGCACTCCAGGACGCACACTTAGACTCCCAGGCAGTTCCTTAAGAACATCGGGGAGCTTCTTTAATGCTTTTATGTTTCTAGCGTAAAGATCCAGTAACCAGTCAATATGTCCACTGGTGGCTTCTGTGTCACTATTACATGCCATAAGCAACTCACTTAGATGAGCCAACCCTTTGAAAGCTAGGGTGAATTCTGAAGATAAATCAAATATTGAACAAAAACTAAGCAACATCCTACTAAGTAAAAATGAACCGAATTCAAGCTGCTGGTGATAAAAACGTTTCTGTGTCTGAGCATGGAAGTTGTCCACTGTATCGTCTAGATTGGTGATGGCAAACAATTCTTCCCTGTCTTTTGGTGACAGCACGTGATCCAAGGGCAACTCCCCCTTAGAGTTCCTCTGCTGTAAAAGCTCTGGGCCTATGAAAAAGAAAATACAAAATGTTAAGAGTAAAACATTTTTATTTTGGCAGGTTAACAGCTGTTTTTTCCCTTTCCCCCACAAAGCTTACAGGGCTCTGCTTTTTACCATAGTTGCTAAGTAGCTGCCTACAGCCTGTGACTTTCTATACAGACTAATAGAGCTCAGTTTACAAACTTACAATTCCAGTCAGTTGTCCAATGAAGCCTGCTTATAAGCCCATACTCTAGTTGGAGAAGTAGTATAGAAGATAAATGAGACAGTTTTAAACACCTTACCTGCACACCGTAAGAGCAAGAATTTCAGTATTCACAGACGAAATTCATAAAATGCCTTAGTGTAAGTTCAGAAAAAAGGAAAAAAAAATGTCTCCTTTGCATTACTGATAAAGCAATGGCAGTGTGGAAACTATACAGACCCTATGCAGACATAGTACATTTTTCATTTTATTCTTGCTAATGTTTACTGCCTTAAAGGTAAGGGCTTCACAGAAACTTCCATGTTAATTTTTCTAAATCAAAGTCAATAGTTGATCTATCTATCAAAACAAAAACAAAAAACCTGCCAATAGTCATAGTAGGTACTTGCAGAGCAATAAGACGCTAAGGGCTAAAAGTTATTCCCTAAATATTAAATCGTGTAAGGAATGTAAAGCAATGACACAGCACTCAGTCATATGACCAAGTGCAGGTACTGTACTGGACTGGACTGGTCAGTCACATCTTTAAGCCTTTACGCACTTACTCATAGATCTGTTACCTGGGATATGAAGGTACAGTAAGGAACCAAATAGGAAATTCCTATCATTATCAATGGACCAAAAAAGAGAATAGGTTGTTAAGTGTTAAGACTATAACCACACATACGATGGCTTAAAAGATTGATGTACAATTGTAGAGAAAAGAATTCCAAATGAAAATTGTATTATCTTTGTTAGCATCTCAAAACAAAAATAAAATATTCTAACTTTTTCCTGTTAGGAAAAAATTACGAATACCTGAAGCAAATAAAGTTTCAGCAGTATACACTCTTAAAATTATTGCTCTCAAGACTGAGAGTCTTGAAATTAATAGCTTAGCACAGTGGTAACGTCAAACCATGTGACAGACTGAAACCCAGACTATGACTGGATTAGTAAAAAAAAGAACAAAACAACAAACAAACAAACAAAAACAAACAAGTACTTTAGCCAAGTATAAGCAGATTTTCTCTCCTAACCTACTAGTCTTTGTTAGCAAAATTCACAGTGGTTGACGTAATACTGTATTATATGGATAAGCTGGATATCATACTGTAATAACGCTCATATCACATCATTTGATACAGAAACAAGTATTTGCTAGAATGTCAGATTAAATCTTGAGTAGAAAAACATAATATTTAATAGGAAAAGCATTAGGTTTAGAAAACAAATAGTATTTTAAAAAGAAGGTAGACGAACTACGTCAATTATGAAATAGTGTTGGTAAAACAGACACACTTAGGCCTTTAGGGGGCAGGAGAAGACTATAAATAATCAAGTCTCTCAAGCCATCATGCATCCTTTCTTAGATATACACAGCATCACCCCCCCCCGCCACAAAAAAACAAAACAAAACAAAACAAAAAAAGCGTTCAAACCCCAATCCAAAAGCAAGCAAACAAACAAAAACCCACATAAAGAATATGCCTTTTGATTTTACACAGAACAAAATGCTTTATATACAACAGAAACACATTAAATTCTAAGCTAAAATTAGCACAATACAACCAATTTACACAAAGGTTTGTATTTCATTACAAGCTAGTTTTAGTTATCTTTTTGAAAACACAAATTAGGTTGAAGTTTTTGAGGCACTATGTGTAATAGTTCATATGCAAAAATGTCGCTAAAACGGGAGTTGCTGAAGGTAAAAATGAAAGACTCAGGAAAAGCAGTAGATGCATCCGACGCTTAAGTTAGCCTCTTCATGCTATCCTTGCATCATTCCCTGACTATTATCTGAAAATCCAACTTGAACTTAGGTGACTGCAAATATAAATGGAAAATATTCATAGCTATCTTTTCCATAATCTATAAAGGATGCCTTATAAAGACAACATTGGTTTGGAGAGTTATACATATACATGTAACAAAACAAGAAGGGATGGAAAACCAAATTAGTCACAAGAAGCACTGAATCCAAAGCTTTAAGAAATGACTAGTTCACAAAGTCATCATATATGTTAAGTAAAAGAAATATTTAACATCAACATGTTCAACTGAAAAAAACACATTATTATATATAAACCTCAATAGGTTATGACAGTACATATATATTATAAAACGATTCTTATAACAGCTAATAAAGGGTGGCTATATTTTATGAGACTTTTTATCTTTAATTATTCACTAATATGAAATAAAAGCACCTTTTCTTATATATTTTTAAGTATAAAGTGCTATCTGCCTCTAAGCGATTTATCAAAATCACTTAGCAGAAGTACACTCACCCCCATGCTGTAGAAGCAGCTTGCCAATTTCTACATGTCCGTTTGACAGTGCATCATGCAAAGGAGTCACCCCGTCCACTTGAGTGAGCAGATCTACCTCTGGACAACGTTGCAAAATTTCCTGGACACACACTGTGTTGCCATAGTTACAGGCTTCATGCAAAGGCGTCCAGCCAGCATTGTCTAAATTAGAAATCAAGGCAAGTTTTAAAACAGCACTGGTAGTACTGCTGGTGGCAAAGTACTGATATTCTGTAACTCCCATCCTATTGCCCTGTAGAGTTTCATATGAGAAAAGACAGCTTTGGTGAAAATGAACACAGTGTAATCATATTTCTATTTAAAAACTGAGGATAAATAAAAAGCAACTTCAAAATATTAATGGTGAATATGATCAGAAAATTACTACTAAAATATTTTATATTATTAGTTCTAAATTATTACATAATGAATTATTTTGGTTTGCCTAGTAACAATATTTTAAAAATATCGTCTGCAAATTTACTTAAATGATTTTTTTTAATGTGACATAAAACTATTTGTATCAAAAATTTGAAGACACTGAATGAGAGCACAAAGACCTAGGGAACTTACCTTTAACATTGATGTCTATTCCTGGCAAAGAGAGAAGAATAATCAATTTCTCCACTTGGTTTTTTATGCAGGCTCTATGCAGAGCTGTTTCCCCTGCCATAAAAAATTAATAGATTATTCCAGAGAAGACAAGATATCAACTAAAGAAAATAATCAAAGGCCATGACTAGAAGATGTGGACTCATGCCAGACAATTACTTATTGAGTTTTCCTCTGAAGGGTTTAAACATCTCTTGAATTAAAAAAAAAAAAAAAAAAGGCGTGGGGGTGGTGGGAGGAAACCCCAGCAATCCAGAGCTTCTATTCTGTCAGCAATTCAGCAATGAAATTCTGCAGCTAAAGCTTTAACACAGGCATTGTCTCTCCATAGTTCAAGGTTTAAAGCTTCAATCCTGCCATAAAACCCCAAATGATAGAAACACCAAAAATACTTGGTTTTGCATCAATAAAAGTTTTAAAGCGCAATTGCCCTCTCTAAAATTTATTCATGAATCTCCGTTAAATGTATGGCTCTTTCTTATACAGCATTTATAGCTTAATTCAAATGAATGTTCCTGGCTAAGCACGAGTGCCTCCACATACTCAAGTATAATTCAGAACTTCAAATCCATTAACAGATGGTTTGCTGCTTCTCAATAGGCTGTCTGGCTTGGCTACAGCAGCACAGAGGGAGAAATGGGAGAATCTTAATATAAACACCACACACACACGCGCGCACACACACGCATGCACACACACACACTCCTTACGTACCACTGAAAACTGAACAACGCTAGCACATAGAATGACACAGTTCTTGCTGAGCAGAAGGCAGTTAGTAGCTGCTGGTCAAAATGATCTATTCATAATCTAAATAGTAAAATTTAAGTCATAGTTTGATATTAAAACAATAGTAAATCCTTGTCAGTGACTGTACAGGAAACAGAATGAGATATGGACATACCGTGTTCCTGCTATAGAATACTGACCAGCATGTGTCTATAGTGCTCAGTTTTACAGATTATCTCTGCAACGTCTACTGAGCATTTCCTCCATAAGAAAAGAAGTCTCTTCAAGTTTTTCTCTATTTCTCAATTTTCTTCCTCTCCCAACTCCTTCTGCTGTTCAGACTAGTCATTCATATTCATTTTACATTTTGAAACAATAAAACAAAGAAAATAGATACTGATCTTTGAAGTGAATATCTGAGTTTTAATCCAATACTCTTCATATTTCGTGGGAAGTTATAAACTATTATACTGAAAGATGTAAAAGCTTTGATGTCCCTGTTTTCATGAGTTGATACATATGAAACAGTTTGTAAAGAGCAGTTTGTAAATCTAGCAACTTAGTTTATTCAAGTAGCATGCCTTTTAGATAATATATCTTCAGGTTATGAGATATCTAAGTAAAAGAGGTACTAGAGGAAATTATTACAGCACTGTTCTTGAAATTCCATCCATTAGGTACTTAGGCTCCAGTACAGTTAGAACCAAAAGCCAAACACATTTCAGTCTGGGCTCAGTGCCTACAAGAAAAGAGCCCATATGCTTAACACAGCTATGTAACATAGCCTACTCCTCACTCTTTGTTCACAAAATGTGTATGACTGAAAAGAGATGAAGGATGAATTATACTTTCAAATCAAAGACACTGATCCCAAGCAGTACAGGTTGATATGGAACACCAAAGTAAGGAGGGCAAATCTCAATGAGCTCAAGGATCGCTACACACCAATAAGCATCTGGCAAGGCGGGGAAGAAAAGGAGGGGCACTCTATTAACCAGGTGTGAAACGATCACTTCCTGTGTATAAATGAGAGTTAAAGAAAATAACACACTCTCTGCAAAGGTATTTCCTGCATCTACATCTAGCCCAATATATAAGTTCAAACATTGTTATCATAGCAAAGGAGTGAAATTTGCAAGTACTTATTACAACCAAGCAAAGTTCTTAGTGTAAGTAATTCAGATACTTTGGATACCTTTTAGATTAGTTTTGTGAAAATTCATCTTTGTAACCAAAGAAGGGCAATTCTCCTTGGAACATGACAATTCTCCTTCTGACTTCTTTTTCAATTTTTTCAGTGATGAAGAACATTTAGCACGGTTCAACTCTCTGAAAAGAAAGAAAACCAAGGAAAGCTTGCTTTTCAGTAGGGCATGCCAGCACACATAAGATAGTGTTCTTCCTCCTTTAGAATGTGTCCTTCTTTTAACTAAACACTCACTCATTCAATCATACTGTTCTCCATTTTTTAAAACGATGTCAGCTATATAGGAACAAATTTTGAAGCATTAATTTTCACTTAATTTTCTATACCTCCAACTGCTCACTAAAAAGGTAATGAGTATAGAATGTTGGGCAAAGAAGAAACCAAGTAAATCACATCTGTAGAGAATCTAAAGCTGAAAGCTAAATAAGAATGCAGGCCTTAAGAATTCCCCATTCAAGAAGTCTCTCATTTGGAAACACCAGTATAACATCTCACATGACCACACATCTAAAACCTCATTTATATTACAAAAATATGTTGTACTTCATGTTTCAGAAAAACATTTATATGAAACAGAGACTTGATTAATAGTTTCATTTCTTTTGGGAAGCACTTGTTAGGAGGGAAGTAAAAGGAAGTGGTGATCCTATCTATTTAAAGGTCTAAAATTGAGTATTCTTGCAATCAATATACTGCATATAATAACCCAGATAACCTAAAGTTTAAGAAAGTTTAGAGAAAAGGTCACATTCCAAACCACAGTATAGCTGTAGCAACAGCATTACTTACGGAAATTCTGGCTGACCGTCAACTTGTTTTGGCTTTGCACCATTCAGCATTAGTAGTGCTCTTTGAGGCTCTAGGCAAGGCCGTTGGATGATTTTTTTTGTCATCTGCATTTTTCCAGCCCCATGTATGTCCATTTTTCCCAAAACAGGCAAATAGGAGTCTAACTGTTACAAAATAACATATCATTACCAAAGAGTAGTAAAAAAATTACTTGGTCACTTTACTAACAAGTCTCATTTTATTTCTTGATTTCACAACTACATTGCCAAATTATTTTCTCTAAACATGACTGAATATTGAAGTTGCCAGTTCTGAGTAATTATCTATGGAATTACTTTGTCAATATCTTGAAGCTGAGGATACCTTTTGCCCAACATTTTAATACACAAAGGGACTTGTCATTGGCTGAAGAAGCTTTAGAGCATTATACAGCCAAGACAAGAGAGAATGGAAGCAAGTGTAGCATGTATGTATGTATGTATATGTATGTAAACAGGTTACATTTTTGTAAGTTTTCCTTTTTAAATGTCAAACACAAAAAAAATTTGGATGTATTTTCAAAGTATTATATATTATGGCAAATATCAGGAAATACTTTTTTCTACTTATTCCTCCATCAAAACTTCCACTCACTAATCTACTTCTGAAAAGATGATTATTATTGTTTATTTGTGTGTGTATTGGAAAATGCCTGCATGTGTGCCTGAGGTCAGAAGGTCCATACATGCTATGAACTGAATCTGGGTACTCTGGGAGAACAGTGAGGCATCTCTCCAGCCCATTTATGAGAAATAACTAAGAATCAAAACTGAACTCATGAACTCACTTCTTAGGAAAAAAAGAGGAACCTGAATAGGGCAGTGCTTACTATTTTCTGAAGTGAGAGTGGCTCAGTGCAAGCGCTGGTAGGGCCCTGGAAGCACAACTTTTTAAAGATTGCTTCTGCAACAAACATTTGAAGCCAGGAAGATGAAAAAGAACAAATGAAGATTTCTAGTTCTTGGGAAGAAAAATCTGTAAAAACAATTAAATATTGTTACATCTTATACATTTTCTCCATATTTTTGCAGAGGGTTGTACTCAATTGAGTGATATATCATAAGCCAGCAAGATTTAGTTATAATTTTTAACCACTATGGATGGTTATATACACATACACACACACGCACACACACATATTATATAATATCAAACACATACACACAAATAATCCTCCTTGTTTTTCAGGAGAAATTTCTTTTATGGTACATATGCTAGCACTTGAAAAACAAACATTATCACTTTAATTAAAAGTCTTAACATCACATATACGAGAGTCAAATATATTAGTGAATTTCTTATAATCACATCACTCAGGAAGCTAAAATAGGGGGATCTCTGTGAATTCAAATTAGCCTAATCTACATAGTTTCAGGCCAGCCTTAGTGAGACTCTGTCTAAAATCCAAATCAAACAAAAACAACAAAACCATATATGTAGAATAGATTATATGATTACACCATTATACCTATATGTAAGACTTTAACTTTGAGTTTCTAAATAACATTAACAATTTCAACTTGGATCCTTTTTGGAAAACTAGTTCTTAGTTTTAACTAACTTATTTAATTAAAAAAATGAACTGGCTAAATTTATTTTTGACACAAAATCTCGTTTTACAGCCCAGGATGGCCTTATTCACAATGACTCAGCCTGTCTTTTAGGGCAGAGATGTGCGACAGCTAACAAGAGAGTTTATTTTTATTTATTCACTCGTTCACTTACTTTTAATAAATGTGGCCCTTTGTACTCCCTATGTAGCTGAGAATCATGCTTTACTATTTATTCTTTTGCCTCCACTTATCAAGTGTTAGGATTATAGGCAGGCATCAAAAGCACTTAGTTTTATTTAAAAAGCACACTTGCAGCAAGGCGGTGGTGGTGCACGCCTTTAATCCCAGCACTCAGAAGGCAGATGTAGGCAGATCTCTGTGAGTTCAAGGCCAGCTTGGTCTAACAAAGAGCTAGTTCCAGGACAGGCACCAAAGCTGTCTCAAAAAACAACAACCAAACAACCAAACCAAAAAAAAAAAAAAAAAAAACAACAAAACCGCACATGCAATTAACTTGTAACATTCAGTCTTGAGCTGATAGGAAGAAGTTTCCTCTAATAACACTCACTGAAGAGCTAGAGGACACATACAAGATAAAGAATAAAAGTATAAAACAATATGTAAAGATGTCATTAAAATTTGCACCCACTCTACAATGAGGTAATTTTAATTTATGAAAGCAACAAACCCCACCAATATCCTTAAATCTTTCTACCCAAAACTTCAAATGTTAGTAAGACAAAAATTTATTACAGACAGAACAACTGATCGAGATAAACTACTAAGATAGCTGATTCCCATGTCATTTACTTAATGATACAAATTTTCTACTAAACTTTCTATATAAATAGTAGCACAAATAACACACTAGAATGACAAAGAATGAGAGCAACAATAGAACAGTAAAGAGCTAAAGTTAAATAATAAAACACACTATAAAAAGTTGCCATGCATAGAACAATGGACTAAAAGGCCCAGATAGAAGTGTATGCGGCTTCAGCTACCAGTTTAACTAGATCCATCTGTACGGCCATGGGACTGTTGGAATAACACATTCTTTCTCATCAAAACCAAAAGATATTGGTTTAACTAAAAGATTAGCGAAGGAATAAGTGCAAGGAGTTACTGAAACATTGCCATTATCATTTACTTTTTGTGTAAGGTTTTTTTCTCATTATACCTTCTCAGGCCTAAAGAACAGGCAAGAAATATTTATCCGTTATTTTACTTAAATGAAGAATCTAATCCCCATCTGAAGTTTCTAAAGAATTCTAATTAGGATAAAAATGAAATTCAAATATACACATAGATAAAGAAAATTATGCCTGAAGTGTTGTGAGAAAACAATACCATAGCTTTGATGTGAAGTTGATGGGCATGAAGTCTAAAGAAAAGAATAAAGGGTTACACCTTTTTCCCTAAATACATACTGCCTTAATTCTCATAAAACAACTAAAAAGGTCAGCAATTATACTAAATGAAAATGAGAAAGGTGAGTCTGTATCTTCACATGAAAATGATATAATAGCCAAATCTACCCTCTTATCAACAAGTCAGAAATCAGAGGAGAATCACTGAACTGATGCAAAAACAAAAACAAAAACAAAACAAAACAAAACCAACAACAACAAAAAACAGCCAGGAATATCCACAGAGAAATCGCAGCAATAACAACAAAAGAAATGGTAAACCATGATTTTCAAATTTCTTCATAAAGATTTGAACAAAAAGACTACTAAAATACATGGGAAAGTCTGGTGTTCTAAACCTCCATAATAGATGACCATTTCAGTTTTATTTTGAATACAGAAAGGCTGCTTCTCTCTTAAGATTAAACTGTTTACTTATTCCTGTCTCTTGACAAACCTTAAACACTAAGTTCTCTTTAGCAAAAACGTAGGAAGATACTAATTTGGTTATTTTCAGAAGCATATTTCAAAACACTTTAAAAGGTTTACCCATTCCATAATTTGAAACCTATGGAAACAATTCTACATAATATGTGTTCAATATTTCATTGCAGCTTCTTATTCAGACTGTTGTGTGTGTGCATGCACCCCCACGCATGCGCGTGCACGCACCCCCCCCCCCACCACACACACACCACAGCATGTCTGTATAGGCCAAAGGATTACTTCGTTCTACCATGTAGAACTTAAGAATGAAACTCAAGTCTGGCAACAAATGGCTTTTGTCCACGGCGCTGGTGTGTACACCGAGAAAAGCACACAAAGGTAAGGAGATTAACTTCAAATAGTGGTATAACTTCAACTTCATCTAGAATTTTAAATTGGTCACATTTTTAATGATTGTGCCCACAATATTATGCTAATTTTTAGCTCAAATCAGTTATCAGTCACAGGTTCCAATCTGCCATTCAAGAACAGAGTAATTTTCATAGTAAGGCACAGCAAACGCCTTACTATGGAATGAAACGACATCCAGAATATGAACAAAGCAATGAAGCAGTAGCATACATACAGATCTCCATCACTGCAAGTGTTATTACTTCATGCATTTGGCTAAAGTATAAGTTAGATTCCATCAAAGGCAACTATTACATACTAGAAACAACACACAAAACTATACTGACAATCCTTAATGCTGAAGCTAATACATTCATGGATCCTAAAACTTAAGGAGTTTCATTATTGAATGGAAACAAGGAATTGTTAGCTATTCCCTTGCATTCTAGAAAATTATACCAAAAGTGAGATTTTTAAAAAGCACTTACTTACCTAATAGAAATGATTGGAAAGAAATGATAAAAGATCTAATGTAAGATTGAATTTGACTTAAGAAACATAAAAAAGCCACTCAACAAATGGTATCTATTCTTAAAAAGGAATGGTATTCACCTTGTAAGATCAATGAAAGAGAAACAGGTAGGAGATAAGATGATAAAAATCTTCTAACTTTGATAGAATAAAGAAACTTCTTTACAGAAGGTATCTGAATAAATTATGAATTTAATTATTATAACCTGTATTCCTATTACAGAATATTTTTTTAAAGAGTCAACATCACTAAGAGTAGATGAAGAAATTCTTTCAACATACCAAGATGCATTGTAATATGTGTGCAAACTTGTTTACCTTGCAGTTCAAACCACAGGCAACTTGGCATGTAAGAAAACATGGTCTTGATTTGGGGGCCACCATAGCTTATGTAGTTGAAAAGTTATAAATTGAAGGCTATAGATTGAAGAAAGAAGAGGGGGAGGAGTAACCACATGTTCTGACGTCAGTTATGCAGTCAACTTTTAGGAAAGTCTTCTCATTCTGAAGACCCAAAAGTTGGCTATGACATTTCCTGAGATGACTGACATGACCTGATAATTATTAAAGACATCCTATCTTAGCTTTCTATTATGAATTATTATCAGTTATTCATTCATTTGTCAAGTATACCAGTGTGTACTAGTGTTTTCACTGGGTAACTGTTTGGTTCAGGAGGCTATTCCTGATATCTGTAGCCTCCTTAACTTCTGTCCAGTAGGTGCCACTTTACATCTTCTTACTCATTTTTGACCACTTTTCCTTGGGACAAAATCTTCCCTTTTTCCCTCACCCTTTGTTCAAACTGAAAAATGACTAGATAACCTGCAAAGGGGCTAGTGCTTAGAGAAAACTGATTCTCCCTTTATCAGCAGCCATTAACAACCAGTAGCTCTTCACCTCCTTGTGGATTCCCACACTGGCATGTCATGCGTTGTTGTCATTGTGCAGGTCTTTGTGTGTGGGATTATAGGCTCGGGTCAATACACCATCATAATTAAATGGCAAGAAACTGATTTTAAATGTGAAAATTACAATCACCTGTAATTTTTAATTATATCACTAAAATCTATTGACATGTTTGATATATAATGCATATATATCCAAAAAATAATGCATTTACTGGTAGTATTTTCTACACTATCATATAAATATTCACATTTTATGGAACTATCAGAAATACTTAGAACAAGCATGCAATGTTTAGAGCAAAAGAATACAAAGTTTCATATGCCTATGAAAAAGATCATCTACTCCAATCAAACTTGCTTTTGTGAAGATGCTACGACGGTTCAATATATGCAAGACGATAACTAATAAATCACAAATAGATACGGCAAAAAGTCAAGTGAACATTTCAACAGCTGAAGAAGAGTCTTTTGTAAAAAAAATCCAAGATGCTGAAGTAAAAAATTAGTTAAGTTCACTTCGTATCTCAGGGATTAACCAACAGCCATCTAAATGGTTGTAAGGCAAGTTAAATAGGAGAGAAGTCACACCTGGTAACTGTTACCTTAGCTAACTACCTGTGCTTGGTGAGGCAATGGGACCTAGAGGAAACTTACAAGTACAACGTTCCCTGACTAGTGTATTCAAAATGTCTACTTTTACATCTACAGGTAAGTGTAGCTTCTACCTTCATCAAAGAACTTTTCTTCCCCCTAACAAAGAGATCACCACAGAAATCTATATTTGGTTAAAATGGAGAAAACGTGTCAAGGAGCCTATTCCCAATCAATACATTTACAACATAACTACAGCAAAGGCTCAGAGAACACCATGAGAAGGGTGCAGAAAGACTCTACAACACACACATGTGCACACACACCCTTATATATGATAGGGAACGACAGGGAACTGCACCCATAAAACCTTAACCATTTGTCCTCAAAACAAGATCTGCACAATGAGAACACCAGCTGACATCCCCATGTGTATGGAAGAGGTTCCACCCCTTGGAAAAGAAATGTAAGTAATTAATGGTTGTTAAGAGAGTCTTCTCTCTGGATGAGCTCTGATTTAATCCCAAGTAATCAAATACACGTACATATATATAAATACACACACATATGCATGAAATAACAATGAAGGAGAAAAGGGCATGAAGTTGGATGAGGAGGCACAGGAGGAATTCAAGTGGGGAGTTTGTGGGACTGAATGGTACAAATTCAGTACTCAATGGAATTCTCAAAAACTAATAATAACATAAATGCTAGAGAGATGGCTCAGTGGTTAACAGCATTGGCTGCCCTTTCAGAGGACCCAGGTTCAATTCCCAGCACCCACATGGCAGCTCACAACGGTCTGTAAGTCCACTTCTATGGATACCGTCACATTTAAATAAAAGGAAATCAATTATATAAATAATTTTTATAAAATGTTTTTTGTAATAAGTTCAACTATGTATAAATTTAGGCAAAAAGAAGATAGAAGCTCTCTGTACGGAAGCATTAAAGAAAGAATTGTATTCCTTTTAAAATTGTCTCTATAAGTACACATTTGTGTATTCTTTGAAAGAAAACTTCATATGACTATACATTAAAGAACAGACTTCTTGAAGGAAACTCAAGACTGATTTTGAGAAGGAGTGATTCTTATTACACCCTAACGAATAACGAAGACACTTACCATCACAGGAAAGGGAGATGTAGCTTCCTAAGTCAGCAGACAGGTGGCGGATCACATTTCTACCCATATGAATACCAAGGAAGATCCAATAATCTATTGCTGCTCCAAGAATTCCCGTCAGTAAGTAAGCTAGTTCATGTTTGAAGACCTAGCAATACGATGGAAAAATATCAAAACATTAAAAATACAAGACTTTTCTAATGCTTCCTTTTACTACTTCTTGAGAGATGAGCTACTAAATATACAGGGTATACTAGTAACAAAAGAATCTGTTACAAAGAAACAGACTAAGCCAACTTCTATTTAATTATAACAAAATGAACAAAATTGGAGATATAGAGATCAGTTTTGAAAGTATATTTTTTTCATATTGTCACTTTTATACTAAATATTAAATACCTGTGAAGAACTATGTCAAGGCATTTAAAACCTTGTATGTTTTAATCCAGTGTTTATTAAACACATTTCTCTAATCTAGAAAAGTCAATATGAACTATGAAGATAAAGATGTGAGAAAATAGTACTTTAATAACATTTTAATATAGACACTTTTCCAAAATGACATTAAAACTAGTTAAAATACCTATATTCTTGTTTGTTTCCTATATGTTCCATGTGTGAAAATATCACTAAGTAACAGTTGGGTAAGGCATATAAACATGTTTTTATTTTTTTTTTTTAAACCAAAGAGATCTATCTGAATAGATTACAACTGCTGTGTTTAGTTATCACATCATGGCTAATGAGAAAAATGTCTAGACATTTTGAACCCTCAGAGAATATAGTAGGCTTATTTCTCCTGCCCTTGTAAACAAATACACAATATTTTATTAGGAAAGCATTCCTTAGCTTACAGATACACCAACCCAGCCACAAAACCTTTGACCAACAATGTCTTGCCTGTGAGATATATTGGGGAAATGGTGGTACAGGATTTGTGGGAGTGGCCAATCAATGTCTGATTTTGACATGAGGCCTACTCCAAAAGAGGGAGCCCATTCCCCATACTGCTTGTGTGGTTAGGAACCAAAGACTGAACAGCCCAGAAACCTAGGGTAGAACCAAAGACGACTGGTCTAAAAAAACAAAAAAATCAAAATGATTCCTTGTAGGCGGAGGTTACACCAGTTCCTAAAAATATTCAGTTATGTGTTAATGCCTTATCCAGTCATCAGAAGGTTTCCTTCCACAGCAGGTGTGAGTGGATGGGAGAGCCACAGCCAGACTTGTGGAGAGTCTAAACTGGACGACTCCACTGGGTCCTTCCTCTTGGAGCTCAAAGAATCCTGCAGAAGAGGGGATGAAAAGACTGTAGGAGTCAGAGGGGAAAGAGGACACCAGAAGAACATGGCTCACTGAATCAACTAAGCAGGGCTCTCACATGGGTCTTTACTAGGTCCTCTACATACATGCTGTCTGTTAGTTTGGTGTTCTTGTAGAACTCCTAACTGTGAGAGCATATGGGTCTCTGACTCTTCTGCCTGCTCTTGGGACTCTTTCCTCTTGTTAGGTTGCCTCGTCCAATCTCAGTGTGAGGGCTTTTGTCTTGTCCTAATGTATTTTGTTTTGTCATGTTTGGGTCTTGTTGGGTCTCTCAGAGACCTGTTCTTTTGTGATGAGAGTCAGAGGGGGAGTGGACCTGGGGGAGAGTACTGGGAGGAGTGGAGGGAGGTGAAAACTGTGGTTGGAATGTAACATAGAAGAGAAGAATCTATTTTCAATAAAATAAAAGTAGATTGATCCAGAGAAGTATAATTCCAATTTTGAAATTATACACATGTACTAAAGAAATTAGAGCAAGGAAGACTGATATTTATAAACATATAGAGATGACTTTGTAACACTAAACAAATAAATGGTATAGAATGTATCTAAAAAGTAAATGTTATAGAGTAAAAAAAAACACAACAAAACAATTGTAGAACAGAAGTTCTGTTTCTGGTTTGCTATGCAAACACATATAAACAAATGGTCAAGCAGCACATATATCTGTGCTATCAAACAGTGACACAGAATGCCCCAGAGTCAAGATCAATAGCAGATGTGAAGATGTGGTATAACATACCATGGGGACGCACATTGCACTCTGGCAGCATTAAACATTATGTCTAAGAGAAAGATCCTGAAGCATAGGCTGAAGGGATTTTATACTGCATGGCTAGTTAACAGGTAAAACAATCAAGGCACTTCTGATATAATTTGGGGGTTACAAGAAGTGGTTTGATCATATCAGGTCAGAATCCATGCATGCAAACACTGCTACTTCTTCCAACCTGGACTCAAAGCTTGCTTCAATATTACAGTTGCAGCTATGTGGCATAGGAAGCTTGCAGTTAGACTGACTGTAATAGCAGCATCAATGTAACTCTTTTATGACCTGAGAGACTAGGGAGTAGTGCCAATCTCTTGAAACTTTGCAGGAAAACAATTCTGTGCTTTATAAAGCTGATATGCAGGTGTGACCCTAAACATATTAAGTTAGTTCTTTCATATCATTAAAGTTAACAAAATATGAAATTGATCATGTCCATAGACGTTATCTAAGAATATGTCTCAAGTAGAATAATTCAAGATCACCCAAGCCCCCAGATTCTAAAACTGTTGAGTAGAAAATGTCTATGAAAATAAGCTTCATATAAAATCACAATCTAGCACTCTATCAATAACAAAAAAAACAAACATTTAAGACTTTCCCTTAATTTACGTAAATCAACATATACCTATATCTAAAACCTCAATTTAAAATAAATATTTCTCTTATATTTTTTTATTTGTATGAGTGTTTTGCCTGCATGTATGCAACTGAACCAACTATGTGCCTGGTGCCCATGGTGGGCAGAAGAGGGCATTGATCCCAACCGAGACCGGAGTGGTTCTGTGCCCATGGGGCTGCTGTGAACTGAAACCGAATCCTTAGCAAAAGTAACAAGTGCTTTAAACTGATGGCTTAACCCTCCAGCCCTAAAATTAGAATTTCTTAAGGTATAATTTACCTCCAAATTGATGTAACTAAGAAGTATAGACATGGGCAAAAGGTCTCTTGCACTGACTTCGAGGAATAACTTCTGCAGCTATTTTACTGTGTGTCAGTTAAACATGGCACATAGTATTGTCAGAGAAAAACTTCCAAGAGCTGGTTCTATTTCCACCATGTGGATCCTGGAGATGGAACTCAGGGTCATAAGGCTTGATGGTGACCCCAGTGCTATTGTTTTTTGGGGGATAATAAATATTATGCTTTGACATTATTAAGAAAATGGCAAGTAAACCATCAAAGGAAATAAAGCCTGTTTGGAATACTGAAGTGTGTGCAAAAGCTAGAAGGAGAACATGAATTACTCAAAGAACTAGCAAAGAAACAAAGACATGATTTACATCACATACGCACCCACATTAGAAAAACTTTCTAACATGTAAAACTCTATTACTACACATTCTGTCAATATCATTCTTCATCATTATAAGCAATCCCCTTATTAATCATCACAATCTACTAAAAGTTGACTACTCTGTAATTCAGAACAAGCTATCATTCTGGCCTCTGGCTCCATCTGACTACTACCACTATCAGTGACAAGTACTCTGCTGGATAAAATCAAACAGAAACCATGCAGGATGCCTCTTCCGGTTTATACACTGGCATCAGAAATATGACAACATTTGTTGTAATAAACCTGGCCTCCAGGTAGGGATTGCCCTAACTGGCTATGATGCTGTCAGTAAGTCACTTAAACTCTTTAAATTCAATTTATTAATCTTTAAATACAAATGGTATCCATTTCAAATTGCAACAACAAATGGGAGTAACCGAAACCTAAGAAAGTGTGCACAACCTTGAAATGGCTCACCTCTGCTCTTTGCCAAGGAAAGCACAGCGCTTTTCCAGATCAATGACAACCAAGTTCACTGCCATTCTGTCACTCTGCAATACTTGTTGGTTGACATTATGACAAAACAATATTAGCATAAACTAAGGACTTCTGTTTAGTTAATGACTTGAATGCTTCAACTCAGCAAATCAAGAAACAAATGCTTTATAGTACAGAAAATGATGTCTGGGAACATGCATGAAATCCTTCAAAGTGGAAAATATCAAAAAAAAATTAATTAAGTATAAGAATGATTGATAACAGAAAAGTATTACAATAAAAAAGTAAGTTAGTGAGTTCAAGAAATTTCAATGTTACAAATACTAATTTGCAAATTTTAAAACCAGTTTTCCTATTAGAACTGATGCTACAATTTGCTGCAGATTGCTTCTCAAATATGGTGCTCTTATTTATAAATTTGAAGAAAACCTTTGAATTAAATATGTATAAATCTGTTTCTATTTACTTATATGTTTCTTGAGTAACTTTTTATCCATAGTTGGCTGGTTCTTTAGTAATACTGTAAAAACATTAGTTTCATTGTTTTTAGTTTTAGATGAGCAATATCACTTATGCAAACAAACAAATAAAAGGGGGGGTTATATAAGGAATATTTAGTATTCTAAGTGATTATATGGAGTAATAAGAAAAAGGCAAACAGTAATTTATAACAATAAGCTTAAGATTATACTTACTACACTGAATTGTCAGTAAGATACAATTACTTGGTTGAGTATTTTAAATTTCTATGCATTGGGATGGTCACACATTCATTAAAATTCGTGGGTAAAGGCATTTGCTACCAAGCCTAACAATCTGAGTTTGTTCCCAGTTACCAACGACATAGAAAGAGAAAACTGACTCTGCAAATTGTCTTCTGGCCTCTATAATGCTGTGGCATGTGTACACCCACAATATGTATACTATATAAATAAAATGCAGTTAATTAATAAATAGCTATATTCACACAATAGGATTACTTGGTGTCCAAAAAGTATAGCTATATCTAGCAGCAATTTTACTTTTCGTGATTGTTTTAGACAGGATATTGAGAACTTTGCCCTCTGGGCATAACATGGAATCTGTCATCATGAAATCAGAGCAGCTGTGATTACCTGCACAAGACCCTCACAAGACGGTATGCATTACCATTGTCTCACAGAGGAGAGGAAAGGCTCCAAAAGATGGCTGGATCCCTGCTCCTCGCCAGTATTTATACACAGTTGTGTGTGTGATGGGTAGGCAAGCTTTTCTTTTAGGTTATAGTAGTCTGTAAGCT